AAGGGGTGGGGGAGGCGCGGCGCTGTCTCGGTGGCCGCCGCGGCCTCGAGGCCGGCGAGTGGGGGAGTCGGGAGGGGGTCGCGGGACAGTCCGGGCTGCGCTCCTCACGACGGCGTGGAGGTGGAAGATGGCAGCCCCTTCAAGAGCGAGCCCTCGCGTCCTCACTCTCCGCCAGGCTCCAGAGGCAGACGCGACACGGCCGAGCCGACTCTCGCCTCCTCTTGACACCGACACCCGCCAGAAGCCGTCAACCCCCCCTAGCGAGCTCTGACGCCGCTCGCCACCGCCGCCACCGCGACGGGAGCGCGCACGCTGCTCGCGCCGGGTCGTTTCCCGTGGGGGTCCGGCCAATCGCCGTCCAGCTGGCTTCGCCCCGCCCTGCCCCTCCCGCGAGGGGTTCCGCCCTAACGGCCGCTGGGCGCGTGCCCGCGCGCTGGCCCCGCCCCCCTCCGAGCCCAGGTCTCGCGAGAACGTTGCTCTTTTTTAGCCCACTCTGGAGCCCGGTCGGCCCCGGGGGCTGAGCCCTGCGCTGCAGACTGCGGGTCTCCGAGGCCCTCTCTGCTTGCTGCGCTGGCGGCCCGGCCCCAAATTAGCAAGTGCCAAGCTTAGAGCGGGTCGGAGTAAGTAGTTCGGCGGAAGTTCTCAGGGTTGGTGCCGCTCCCGACGGATGCTGGCGGGATCGCGAGCCCGTAGGGAGGCCCAGCCCGAGCCCAGGACGCCTCACCCTTTATCCTCGGGCTTTTGGCCACTGCCCCTCATCTGTGTCCTAGCTGGCACGCGTGTCAGGTTCAAGAAATAACACGCGACATCAGCTCACCGGAAAGCAGGCGTCCCGATGCTTCTGCTAACGTTTGGGACAGCTGGAAGCTGCTAGTCTGCATTGGAGTCTGTGCAGGGAGAACTCGGGGTGGGCCATCTTACACAGCGGCGTGTCCCGGGCAGGGCCCACCCCACAGCCTCCCAGCTCCTTGGCAGGCTGTCGCCCTGCACTCCTACGCCTTGCTAACTGCGATAGTAGTTGATTTCTTCATCTCACGGCTGGTGGGGGTGACAGAATAGCTCATCCTCGTGAGGCCCAAGTGAGCCAACTGGAAATACCTAAGCCACGGCTGCATACTGGTTTTCCAAACTGGAAAAAAAAAAAAAATACCGTGATTCTTTTAAGCTGAAAGGTCTCTAGATACTTGGGAGGGAAATGATGGAGTTCTTGTTTTGTTTCATTACAGTTGCACACTCATTGAACAATTTAAGTACATACTGAACCAGTAGAAACGGTAGTCGTGTTATCTTCAGTAATTTGCAAAAAAAAAAAAAAAAAAAAAAAAAAAAGCTACCAATTATTTGGAAAACTATTTTTGAGATAGGGTGTCACTGTTGTGAGAAAAGTTGGTCCTCGTTAAATAAGTGAGAATGTTCAAAAAAAAAAAAAAGTGAGAATGATGGAGACCCAGCGAGCATAAGGAATGAGACATTATTTTTCAATTCTGCAGAAAGGTGGGCGTCACCCTGACAAAAAAGGCAAAATAGTTGAAGTGCGGATTTGACATAAAACTTTTTTGTTTCGGGTTTTTTTTTTTTTTTTTTTAATTCCCTTGTTGCGTGTCTCTCCACCCTTTTCATTGGCTG